GGATTGGTTTTTCCTCATGGATCTAATGCAGGACGAAACCGTTAGTGAGATGAACCGTTTTAGGGGTTTTATGAGTAGTGTTGTGTCATGTGCTTGTGGTCGTTTCGGACCGGTAAGGATGGTGCTGTATCTCTAGTTCCAATAGTCTTCTGACCAGAGTTGGTGAAATCAAATGAACTACGGAATGGAAATTCAGCTTGTGAAAGGTATTAGGCTTACTGACGAAACGGATGGTAAGAATAGTACACGGGTGCTCTTTGGTGATTAGGCGCACTGGAAGCTACAGTGTTATAGCGTGTGTTCCAATTACGGTGATAGGGTACTATGGCAAACTTCTTTCTGCACTTATACTCGGTCCAATTGACGAGTGTGTGTATGAGGTCATACCTCTTTGGAACGCTGTGAGCATCAGGACAGATCAGGTTGTAGCCGTTCCTAGTACTCATGTAGTCTAGAACTAGAGATTTTAGCTATAGTTTATCCGGATAGTCCGAGCGTACGAAGGAATGACTGCGCGATCTATTGGCTTTGGGTCTCCGACTGCCATTTTGATTTTTGCCACTTGGGTCCAACTGATCTGATAGTTTTCTTCGGACTACGTGCATGGAGGGCGTCAAATTCAGAGGTTTTCATGTCCCTGCCATATTCTCTTTATCACTAGGCTTGAGGAACCAACAAACACTGGTTTTCATGCATTGGATGCCTAACTACCTTACCGCAACAGTATATAATTATGAACGACTTTCTAAGCTGTTTGACTCATCAGCTGCTGAAGTCTACACGTTTGTTCATATCGTGACAGGGTACTTTCTCTGTCCAAAGTCCAAGCACACTTGGGATGTGTTAAGGTCCAACACGAACTGGAACTCTTCTGCAACTCCCAGATATGGCTAATCCAGAGGGCCGTAAATGCATCAGTTAGGTACCATGCAAACGAAGATCCATGTTTTAAGGTCCAAACATATTCGAGAATGCAGCCAACTACGCAAATGGGATCAGATTTGAGGAAATCCAGTATACAGGTTCCGGAATTGTGCCCGTGTTGAGCATTAGCCTTTCAAAACGTAAAAATTCCACACCAGAACCGATGGGCGAGATGGCTCAGTGGTTAGAGCGGGAATTTACCAACCGGAAGGTTCGTGGTTCAAACCCGACCTCTGCCCCTCGACTTTCTCTGTCTAGGCTTGGGCAACTTGGTAGTATCCCAAACCTCGTGATTCCTTCTGGTGGCACGGCAGTTAGGCACCGAAAGGATGCTACAGCTGAAACGTTTTTTAGAATCCACGGAACCCTACCGAAGGGTCTTAATTCGCCGGTGACTTCTCTTGGAGGAGGGTCACCGTATTTTCGGAATTCCGCAGTGTTTGTCCTAACTGCTATCCGTTACACATTACCCCCTGGGGAAGAGAAGAGTGCTTGAACAGAGACATATTCGTAGGTTTATTTCAATAGAAAAATACTCTTGTGTATGTGTTGTCGCGTAAACGAAATCCTAAAAATCTAAACCGGGCATGGGAAATTTGGTGGCGAAAGCCTCCACTTTTTGCTTCAACGCAGCCAGTTCACCTGCGATCATCTGGTTTTCTGATAGAACAGCCTGAAAGAAGAGAGCAAACGCGAAGGTTATGTAATATGTCTGAATAGGTGAAGTCACTGACTTTGGATCATGTTTCACCGGGTTTGTTCGCCGGGCTTGCGAACGAGAACAAATTGTCAGCCCGCGGTAGGGTGGAATCGACAATCTCTTAGCGTATGATGACGAAACGTCTGCAAACCCGTTGCCAAGCTCGTGCATCCCAAAAAACTGAGTGGCATGCATCGGAATACGGCTCCGCAAACACCCACGTAGAACAGAACCACTTGAGAACGGCGGTGGAAGGATACATACATACCAAATTTGTGTTCGCATCCCCATTTGTTGATGCCTTCGACTGAGCATCCAACGTGAGGCCTATCTCAAGATCAGACTCGTCTGACCAATCATTTTCCGATGTAAGTAGTATATGCAGAAATCCTCCGACTGAAAACAAACGTCCAAATAGAATTCGAGCCCAATCTAATGAATTCCAGCCAGGCAGGAGGAGTGTTGATAGGCTACAACTGAAGTTCTATTGATTTTCCCATACCGTACATAGGGAACAAAGCTTTGAAACCGTTCCAAATCGATGACTTCTCGGTCAATTTCAAGCGTTTTCCAACTGATTGAAAGCTTGGACAACTGGACCCTCAGGTTTTTGGTTTTGTTTACACAAAAGCTATTTCTATCGAGAACAAGAGCGATCAGTTAAAATCAATCAAGGGAAACGGTTAATACTCTAGAGAGCTAGTGAATTTGTCACCACTGGCTGCCAAACAATGAGTTATTATTAATAGGATTGATGTATAGTGTGGGTGTGGTACTCTCGCAAACAACTACGTTGTTGTCATCCGTGGTCGGGTGTCAGCTAACTAACCGTTGCTGGTGACGTTACAAAGTAGTGGTGGGTGACAAGTCATCAACACCAGTAAACTTCCATGATGGGCTAACCTAAGTGACTTTCCATTGTGTTCATATCAAGGGTACCTGAATTCTTCGGTTCATCGTGCGCCCGAGTGGGAAACAGACCACGTGACGATTTCATTTTATGAAATGAGGCCTACAATGTGAGACTGGTGAACAGCTGCATCTTGATTACTATCGGAGAACTTTGCCTTCACTATTTAGCTGTGATACTTTTTCGGTGCCTAACTGCCATGCCACCCGAAGGAAGCACGAGGGCTGGGATACTACCACGTTGCCCAGGTCTAGAGAGGAAAAGTCACGAGATAGAGGTCGGGTTCGAACCACGGACCTTCTAGTCAGTAAATTCGCTACTTAAGCCATCTCGCCATCCGGATAGGCAACAAAGATGAATGCTCTACACCCTGTGTACAAAAGAAGCGCATCCATTCAAGTGGATTCACAACAGGTTGCGTCCTTGTGGGAGTAGCGCAGCTCCCGGCACTGGGGGTTTTACACCTCATCGAACTCCGACTTCTCACGGCGTACGTAGTGCGAATGGAAACTTAGATCATACTACGACTTCAATCCTAGGCTGATCAAACGCATAGGGAACTGGGAATCACTATGGATAAATACAAGGCCATTCCAGTCTTCCAAAGCTTGGTGATTACGCTGGTGTCGCGGTGAATGGATGATTTTAGATCACACTTCGCAGGTCCATTGTCTCCGCTCATGTTAAGTTTGACTTGCCAGAAACATATCCACGAAGGAAGAGCTGTACAATCGCAATCCTGCCGGAACAAGATAAGTGGCAAGTCCTTCGACCCTGCTGAGATTTTAACCGAGATCTCATCCTGCAAAGGAAATCAATCAACACTGGAAATCCCAGCACTATTTGGAACCATAGGTAAGCGCCCCTAAGGACATTCGGACCCGCAACATCACGGTTGGTGGTTGAAAAAACTAGTGTTCGGCCACGAGTGGCTGATCAGCAGCGGTTTAACTCGCTGTTGCACAGGACACGGCGCCTCTCATCCACCAGTCGCGGTTGCGTCGTGGTCAGGTGTTGACTGGTTCCTCGGGTGGAAGCCTCTTGTGAATTGTGAGATTTTTGTTTTGTGAGCACACTAATTACGGTTTGAACATGCAGCCTCGTAAGTTGACAGCGGCGCTTGAAATCAACAAGCCTAGGCGTACAGAGAACGCTCAAAGTGGCATAGCTTATGAAATACAAGAAGATGACGCAGTGCTTTAACATTGAGCGGCGTCATAATGAATTCACATGGGGGAAACGGTTGTTTAATCTTTCGTGAAGAGAAGACGTTCGGTGCAGATAGTCAGGTTCATGCAAAATAACACAGCAAACTCTGTGCCAAGGTGTGTTGCTACGTAGACTGCAGTTGCTAGTTGAACAAGGAAGGTTGTACGTGTTTGTGGGACTTAGAATTCGTATTGGCTTCGCTCTCGTTTGAATGGTCACCCTGCTGGGGGAGTCAATCGATCGACAAAACTGGGACAGCTGACAGAACCTCGTCCGAGGGAATGAGTGAGATACTGACATATCACTCACGTTCACCTGTTAAGAGTGAGAGTTCCGGTGTAGGTAACATGCACTGCTGGAACGTGTACTTTAGATATCCAGGCTTCTAATCCCAGCACGGCTGAATATGTGCTTTTTGATGACCTCTAATGAAAATGAAACTCGGGTGCATAAGCTCCTTTTTGTTCGTTCAGCTGTAGCACCCTTTCGGTGCCTAACTGCCATGCCACCCGAGGTAAGCAAGAGGGCTCGGATGCTGCCAGGTCCCCCAAGCCTAGACAGGGAAAGTCGAGATGCAGAGGTCGGGTTTGGACCACGGACCTTCCGGTCAGTAAATTCCCGCTCTAACCACTAAGCCATCTCGCCCCCGGGTCTCCTCACTAACTGGAACAAATGTGTCACGACAGAACGACTGTTCATGGGCGGATACAAACGTAAGAAAAGATGTAGTTCACATCTACTCCAGCTGGTTTCCATTTCGTGATATCAGAATGTCGGAGTAGCAAGCGCGGATATTTCGATCTTGACCCGGTTGACAATCTGTGAGACAGCACGCCTTGTGTATGAAGGGCAGAGCAATCCAAAACTTGGTCGTCGAACTGAAACTGCGGGTCGGCAGACAACATTGATTTAGTCACCCATTTATACTGCGTTCTACAGGTTTGGAAGCTAGAATTGTGTGGCATTTCATTATAAATCTATCAAATAGACGCTAACATCAAAATTTGTACCTATTTGAGGAGACATTTTACCCTGTTTTTTTTCAGTCTCTAGGCCTTTTTTCCGAGTTTGATGGCACCTATTAGTCGCTGAACAAGCATGCTCCGTTATAGAGACTGAAAATGGATTTTGTCAGAGAGCATTCAGTCAACGGATTCGTTCTGATCGCAATCATACAGACACAGACTCCCTATAAAGAATGCTACGGGGAACTTTGAAACCAAACGAAGGCTTTAGTTCTATGAGTTGGATACTCACCAAATAGTCTTTGAGCAACTTGCTGGATGTCTGGCTCTTTGCCCTCAAGGCCAACTGAATTCCGTCGTGAACCAGAGAGGCTACATATTCGAAATCTTTCGACTTCAAGCCACGAGACGTGAGAGCAGGACTGCCCAGTCGTAGACCGCCCGGACTAGCCGAAAACAGTCAAGAGAAGTAGGAGTGATGGTAGAGGGAGGCAATGTCACAACAGAAATACGATAGATGACGTAAATTCGAACAAGCAATCGATACGTTCGTAACTACTTTGCATCAATTCAGCGGTGACCATGGAAACCGATTTATTGATCGGAAAGACTACTACGTAGCGAAACAAAATGGCCAGGAATGATGAGCACCAATCGTTACAAATGCTTGAATGCCGATGTGGAGCAAACTTATCCATATAGTCACAACGACGTTTGTTAGTCAGTCGGTCGAAGTCCAGAGTTACGTCAAAGTTCGAACTTTGCTCACAACCAAATAGTTGCATTTTAATATGGCTATCTGAAAAGCGCCGAATTCTCGATTTCGTGATTCGAATTTCAATTGGGGAGCCATATAAAACAAGAATATAGTTAGTAAAAACTCGATGGAAGTGAAATAACATTCAGGACCAACAAACAGTCTCTAAGCGACGACGTCATTGCTCAAACAAATTTATGGCTAGACCGAAACACTGCTGCTGTTTCGTAAACTTAGAGGGTGATCCATGGGCCCATGTGAAATTCTATCTACTGTTTGTAGGCCGCTAGAGCCACTCTGACCGACAAGTTCACGCACCCCAATCCCGTGAACGACAGTACGGCTCCTGTGAGAACGTACAACAGATGGAACCGAACTAAACGAAAACCGCATTGATATCACGTGACTCGTCGGCCCACTTCAGAACAGCCAACGCAAAAGCACGGGGATTACAAACCACCAGCCGGGGAAGCATTGTTGCCCGACGACCATCCTTCATTTAGTTAACGAACGCGACTGAATACAACAGTATTTCTAGCTGATCGGCTACTCTTTCGTTCCCTTGTCATCTGCTTCATCGCCATAGAATCGGTCAACCTAGTCTACACAGGATAGTACAACGAAGGTAGACAATGTGTTGTGATTCTCAATCAGTTCAAATGATGAATACCATGGACACTTGCATAGTATGGATTGAAGATTTGCTTGAGCTTCATACGGAGACAAGTGAAGTAGGAACGCACACAGAAGACAATTTGTATGCATATAAAGTGCAACTGGTTATTTTCTCAGCAGGTAGAACTTCACCAATCGGCCCTAAATATCAATAGCAACATCAGTGTTGACACCGATGCTTCACTACCGCATGACTAATCACAAAGTTCATTCGATTCTGTGGAAAAAAGAAACGATTGAATGAAGGAAGGACTTGGTGCTGGCCTCTCACAAGCATTCTTAGACGCATACAGCGCCAAGCACTCAATCGGACAATTAGGAAAGAAACTGATAATACTGCCGCATGACTGAGCACAAAGTTCATTCGATTATATGATATAACGGGTAGTTACTGGACAACAACACAAACAATGTCACACCATGGGAAAGGACGGAAGTAATAACGATGACCGGCAGTTCAGTGGATTTAGCCTTTCCTCTGAGCCCTTGAAACACCCATCCTCCGGGTTGAGAACCACTGTCACACGCTGTTGTACCCTACCGAACTCTCATTCATTGGTATGGACTTGGTGGGTTCGATGACTCCGTCCAGAATACACACAGCACCACTCTTTGAAACACACTAGAGTCGCAGCGTGGACTGAGGACAACAAAGTCCCAGGACATATGACGACACACCGCACGAGGATTCCTTATGTGCTATCGTTCTTTTCTTTATTTCAAAGGAGTGCGTGTTCATGCGGAATATATCGTTTGGCGCCTCTAGCCATCCAGGTAGCATCACCTAGAGATGGGTTGAAAACCACCGAATACCTAAAGCACTCGGTCCAGCTCAAGCGCAGATTCCGACCGCACTTTACACGGGCCGTTCAAAATAACCCACAGATATTTCGTTAGTTCAGGACAGAAAGCTTCGAGAACACCAGTTCACTCTCGTCAGGGAAACATTTAGTTTCCCTATCAGGATGGAAGACGTATCATCAAAGAAAATCGCGTGATGTTGCGGAAAGTAGCGCGCGATACAGTAAACAAATCGCCAAGCAAATCAAACCACCGATAAAGGGTAAAATTCAACATCATCCGCGGCTACAGCTGACATCTTAACCATCTTAACCTCCAAACAAATAAGGTTTCGCTCCGGCTTCCGTGAGTATAGTAGCTGCTTCGGTGTGTTAGAGTTTGTGCGTGTGCGTGTCCGTTCCACTATCGATCTGGCATGTGACTTGAGTGGCCGATTGGGTGCGTGCCCTATTGACTGGCTCGCGTGGGTTGACTGGGTATGTGACTCAGTTGTTTGCTTACACGCCACGAAAGCGGACCAGTTGGCTGCGTGTACACAATACACCCGTGCCATTACTAACGTGTTCTTCTGACTTACTGTGAACTACAATACTGGCGACAGAGACTGCTGGACTATACAGGCAAAAAGTGGTGAATCATGTCTAACGCGTGCCGTGATTCAAATCAGACCATTCGCTCCGGTTTCTATGTGTTCTTTTGCCCGGTAAAACTTGCTGGATCATCAAGGACAGCAGGACATCAGTGTTCAACACCGATGCTTTGCTGCCTTACAACCATGATTTATTTGAAAGCCTTATTGTGAAGAAAAGAATAAAGGTGGACAGGTAAGGGACTTAGTGCTAGGTTACTACAATCATTCCGAGGTGCCTCCACCTCCAAACACTCATTCAGGTAATCTGGATAGAAACTGACAGCCAGATCGCAGTCATATCTTGCAGCGTCTCCAACCAGGCGGAGCGAGAATCACGCGGTCCCAATCATGGTAGCCGAGTAGCACTGACAGCACCCAGACCTTTCGCAATCTGTTTCATATCCCTGTGCCAGGTGAAGGCTTAACCAGCTCTCTGCTTTTGCCACTCTGAATTGGGCATGGAAAATAGCACTCTCTTCGGTAAACCATGGTTCGGCATACGCAACACATGTCCCAACCAACGCAGCTTTTGGTGCTGGACACATTCTTCAATGGAAGTACCCGTTACACAACCGAAAACGCGCTTTCTAACTGCCTTATTACGGATTCGCCGATACCAACGCACACGAGCTGTGGTTCTGAGACAACGATTGTCGACGTCTCAGTTCCGCTGCTCGAACAGGCCAAGTCTCGCAGCGCTGTATCCTGTCAAAGTGCGAGCGAATCGCCTCACTGATTAGTCACTCATAGCACTGCTTTGACGCCATCTATAACGCTACATCGACGGCTGCGGTACGTTGGGTGGGTCTAACTGTGTTGGTCAGTTTCTAACAACTGACAAACCTTGTACGGGAGACCCCGCGAGTGTCGTACGGACACCCGCAGTATAGCTCAACGGGTTGTGAAAGCAAACAAACCTTCACACTCTCTTCGTGACGGCAAAATATGCCGAGACTGAAATACGACTGTGCTTTGCTATCCAAACAAGCTTAAAACAACTCCAAATCGCGGTTCAGTTGAGAGCAAATAGAGAAAAATAAGTAAATCTGACTCACCGCAAGGCATTCAGATCACCTGGACAGGTGTTTTTGTTCGTCGTTATACCTGCAAGTTCCAGCACTTTCTCGGCACGAGCACCATCAATCCCCAGTGGTCGTAAGTCGACGGTACAAAGATGGGTGTCAGACCCACCGGTGACAATCTAGGAATCAAAAAATCACAGGGAAACGCATTACGATTGTTCACACGACACAGGAGCTGCAGAATGCACCAAAATGATCAGCGACAACGTTTTTGACAAACTAACAGAACGAGACACAATGGTCAGGATAAGACGGTAGGACAGAATCTCATGAAAGCAGAAAACAGGTGCATCACCACACGATAAGTCATGCATACTCTGACACTGCAAGTAAGCTTTCAAAAGTGAATCCTCATCTAGGAGGATTCTGTAGCATCTTTTAGAAGCGCGACCCACGATGCTGAGCACCGAAGAGGGTGTCCCGGGGAGATACTTCACTGATCAGCTGACTTGAGTAAGCGGTTACAGGGGTTGATATCGAAGTGGAGCTTTATTTTGGACAAGTATTTAGTCAAAAAGGTTTCAGAGGTTTGAAATAGGTGAGATGTCCGATGCTGTGACCAACCTCGTGCGAGCCAGTCGACTATTGATAAGCGAAAATTGAATGCTCCTTGTGTGGCGCCGCAGTCAGTCAGTAGACCAAGAATCCACCAGCTGATTTGGGCTTTTATCGAGAGTTCGACATGGGATTGTACGTCATATTGAAGAAATCTTACGTGTCCCACCCGGTTGCATTTTAAACATCGATCCTTCTTGAAGGGACAGTCTAACGCCAAAATACAGGCACTGTGGGGATCAGGTTAAACCCCGGTTGCATTACAAACATCGATCCTGTACGAAGGAACCGTCTAACACCATAATACAGGCACTGTGGGGATCAGGTTAAACCGGGAGTAGTTACTGGTTCTCTTTGAATGGGGCGGTATGCCTCAAGCTGGTGCCCTGCGCTGGCTGCCGAATCATTACAGAATCGGGGTTTGGTTTGGCAAGATATTGATATTCCTCAAGGTTAAAGTGTCATTTTGCAGTCTTGATGTATCTTCGTCTAGAGTAAGGTGTGTATCAGCATCTTTGGAGGGCTGGAGGCCACAGACAAAACTGGTGTAAGCATACCTAACTGAAACCCACCCCGTTCTCGACAGCGCCAGCATACGTTTTGAATTTGTCGGACTCATGGACACTTGGAACGAACTGGACAACATGAATGTCCCAGCAGAAATTCGCATCAAGGTTCGAAGCCTACCTGTCCACAGAGTACGCAAAATCCATGGACCATTGTCCTGAGACATTGAAAAGTCTCATGGACTGTAGGAAGCTCGCAGCACAACCCATCTGAACGGTGTCCACAGTCAAATCATGATGAGCCCCAAGGAGGACGAAACCGGTCGTGGGCTGTCGATGGATTTTCAGCAACCTTATGAGTAGTACATTAAAAATCATGCTTGTTTACGCACCCGAGGATATCTGACCAGTCCAACCACTTGACCCTGGCCTGAAATCATTCTTTTACCTCTGAGAGAGATCAATGGATGGTGCCAACAGCCTGCATGGTAATCCAGAGTGTCGAGTATACCCAAAAACGGATCGCAATTTTGTGACATCCTATCATCAGCGTGTGACCCACTATATAAACTACCGATGGTTCAGTGGTTAGAGCGCGAATTTACTGATCGGAAGGCCCGTGATTCGAACCTAACCTCTGAATCTCGACTTCTCCTGGATAGACTTGGACAGCCTGTCAGTATCCCAGGACCTCGTGCTTCCTTCGGGTGGCATGGCAGTTAGTCACCAAAAAGGTGCTACAGCTGAACGAGTATCTCACCATCTGCAACCCAACGATTGAGTAGAAGTCTGGTCAAATGCTTCGGCAATTCCTCTTTGTCTACCGAACCTACTTTGAACAAATCTTGTATCAAACACCAGTCACCTAGAAAAATAATAACAGGTACGATGCGCAGTTGGGTTGAAGCGGATGCTCACACCCGTTGAAGCCATTCATTCATGTCTGTGGAAACCCCCGAGGATGCCAAAAATCTCGTCAACCTCCTCAACGCCTCAGACCATGTCAGATCGATCCTCGGCGTCAACGTTTCCTCATCGAGTGAAGCAATCGCTCTCAAAGTTTCAGTGGGAGACCGCAGCAGTTATCGTAAGACTATTAGGGTCGCCACATATGGTGGAAATCTTGAAATGAATGGTCAGGAAGGTGTTTAAGTCACACTTCACGGAGCACCACACCGTTCATTCTCTTCGTGTGATTACTGTGCCGCACTAAAGACAAAAGTGACTTAAGTTGCAAAACAAAATCTATGTGAAACGCCAGTGTCAGAACCGATCGATACAGATGGAATTCATGTGTGCCGTTCGTTCTTGTTGCATGACGTACAAGAATGTCTCAACGTCAGACGTCACGTGACCGAGAAACGGCAACATACAGTATATGTAGAGGACAACAGGAGAGTGACCGCATATCGGTAAAACGGCACAATTGGACGAAAAAGGACAGTGTAACGCGAATAACTAGCCGACCGAATGCAGGTGAGGAATAGCCCGTTAGAAGAGGGAGCCTGCAGTAAACAAATTCTATTACCGTGTATCCATAGCTGATAAGTGAAGAGCAAAGTTGTTGCATATTCGAGATGACTTCCTTCTGGTATTCTTTGAATTCAGGCGAGGCGGCCTCATTCAATGCCACAGCCAAGGCAGCGATTGAGTTGTTGTGTGGGCCGCCTTGCAAACCGGGGAAGACCGCCTCATTGATGAGACGATCAAAGCCGGTGGGTGTCGGGTCACCGCATGCACCATTCTGAAATGTAAAAACGGATGGTGTAACTTTCTATAAAGGACGTGGAAAGAGTTATCATTTTGACAGGGATCAGACTGATGTTTCAGTATATAATATCAGTGCATAACTAGCTGGTGAGGTGATTTGTAGGGTTTTGATCCGTTTTGAGAAAAATCGATGATGAAAGAAAATGATCGATCTACAACAAAAGAAAGCAACAAAGCCTCAACTACGTTTGGTAACAGCAGACATAAAGGGAAGATCCTGGGGAATAAATAATGAATAGTGATAATAATTAATGATTTCATTACATGGGAAAACTTCCCGATTAAAAAGTAGTGCTTAACATAGCCTTACGCGGAGAGGGCCTGGGGGGTTACCACACAGAAAAATGCATGAGGTAAAAGTTAGGCGAGCCAATCGCAGACACACTGACACCAAAGGAGGTGGTTGCGCAAAGGGGTTGGAAGGAGAACTTCATTAGTGAGATTATCATGGAAGCTGGTTGCCTTATGCCGGGAAATTCCGAGGCGATTCCAAGCGATAGCATTAGGTGAACTAAACGCCTAAACATCGTTGTGGTTGCTGGTGACATAAACGCTTAGGTAGGTAGGTTTAATGCTGCTGGGTGGCCGTCTGTGGTTGGACACGAGAAGCACGGAAAATGGACAGGCCTGGTGATCACAAACTTTACAGCACCGACTACCGGCAGAGTGGAAATCGCTTGATAACGTGGTTCCCGCCACCCAATTAGCAGTGGCCAGGGTCAACCACTGCCTGCCGTTCGTTCTAAAATACATGCTTTTCAAATGTGCGCTAAGCGCATACATCTATTGAGACGCTCGTGGACCCAGAAATTAAACAAACTTATAAAGATCGGCCTCTCCAAAGCCTGCTCTTCTCAGTGTCGGCGCTTCTGTCTGCAGTACAATCCAGCCAACCTCATCCAAGCAATGAGCATGTGATAGGATCGTGACTCTGCTGCAGAACCCGCGATAGATTCCTTCCGGTTGAAACCTCAATTCAACTCATCCGACACAAGGTAGAACTGGGCGTCCGTGCAGACTGGTAAGTCTGGTGGATGTGAAAGTCCAAAGAAATGGAAAATTCGTAGGTCATTTCACTTGATTCACAGAAGCCTCCCCTTAGCGCAACTGGCAGGGACCAAAATAACTCCCTGACATTCGGGGAAGGTGAACGTTTGGACTGTTTGGCACAATATTCCGAAAAAAGACTCAGTGGGCTACCTGCTACCTCCAATACGGTCTTTCCGCAAAAACGTAGACTGTGAATATGGAGCCCCCCAGTACGCGGTTATTACAGCTGATAATGATGATGATGATGATGATGATGATGATGATGAGCCCCCCTTCAGCCTCAGAAGTGTCTACTCACGCGTCATTGTGCCATTGGTCCTGAAGACCTTCCACCTGCTCTGGATGATGATGTGATGAGCCCCCCTTCAGCCTCAGAAGTGTCTACTCACGCGTCATTGTGCCATTGGTCCTGAAGACCTTCCACCTGCTCTTGTAATCGTCCGCGGCGCGCAGCGGTCAGGTTTCTGATCCATGTAGTAATATGGAGCGCACCGCAGCGCACAGAGAAACTGATGTCACGCCTACGCCACAGGTGACGTAGGTTCGCAAAAGCTGCTCTGGCCTTCCCAAT